GTCGTAGACGAGGGTTTGGGTGGGCCTCCTGTATAGTATTTCCATTTGCTCAGCAGCGGCAAGCTTGCGAAATTCTTGAGTAAATGGGTACCCTCCACACCATATTCCGTAGATCGCTATGCCTAGTGACCACGAGTCCATTGTGGGTTCTGCCGCAGCCGTGTAGTCGTTGTTCAGCACGATTTTTGCCAGCTCGGGCGCAGCGAAAGCAGCAGTAAACATGACGGGCATTACAGGCGATCCAAAGAGCTTCGCACCATCCAAGTCCCCCGTTAGAACACTTCCCTTTTCGGTGACGAGGAAATTTTGTAGCTTGATGTCTAGGTGAACTAAAGCGAGTCTGTGCAGATCGCTCACTGCCCGCACAACCTGCTGCGTTAGGCTCAGAAGCACGTCGCGATCTTCAGCTCGCGTGTGCAACAGAATACCTGTCAAGTACGACAGATCTGCCCGAAGCAACGGATATAACACAATTGCATTCAGAAGTGTCCCTCGAGTGGGCAGCTCCATGACTGNTCTGCCCGAAGCAACGGATATAACACAATTGCATTCAGAAGTGTCCCTCGAGTGGGCAGCTCCATGACTGACGGGCTCGAGCGCTTCGTGACGACACAGAGGGGCAACCCGAGACGCAGGGTGTGGGATGCCCTTGCTGCGTCTACACCCGGGGGCAAGTAGGTCAAGATGCTGAGTTGCTTTCGCACATTGTTCATTGTAGCCTTTTCCCCGTGTCTGACCTGAAATAGCTTCCCAGCGTATTTCGCTCCGTGGTTGCTGGTGAAGGGAACAACAAACCCAAAGGTTCCTGCTCCTAAGGGGAATCCTCGTCTGAGGACTATTTTTTGCCTGGCGTCAACACAGTCGTAGCCGATCTCTTCATCTCGAGGCAAAAACAAATCCAACTCCTCATCAACTTTCCTTAAAAAGGCAGTACTTCGGACTCGGCCTAAACGGGAAAGGGCTTTGGCCACGACAGGCGACCCCTTGCCTCCGATCTTGGTGTCCTCCACTTCGAGATTACATGACATTTTGGGGCTGCTGAGGAACTTNACCCCTTGCCTCCGATCTTGGTGTCCTCCACTTCGAGATTACATGACATTTTGGGGCTGCTGAGGAACTTGCGCAGCTCGCGAGTCGCCTTCATCGCGGCTGAACCGACGGCCATGATGGGACGACTAAGCGCCCTCAGTACAGACATTGCGCCGCTCGTCTGCCGCTCAGGGCCCTTCTGGCCTGACCCGCGAGGCGATTTGGCCTGCAACTGAGCGAGAGAGGCAACGCGGCTGCTGCTGGCTTCCTCCCCAAACTCGTCTTCCTCTTCAGCCTGGAGGCTGTCTGGCACCTCCCCAGCAGGGCGTATACCGTATGCATCTGCATGGAGCGTTGCATACAATTCTGTAAATCCTCTTGGGGAGTTTTCTGTCTCTGCTTGTGCGTCTGTCGAGGACAGGTCGCTAGCTTCGAGATCATCGCCAAATTCGTGGGGGCGACTGTTAAGTATCGTTCGTTTGCTTCTTGTGTCACCAGCCGCTTTGTTATAGGTCAAGGTTTCGCTCTGGTGGGTACCAAGAGAAAGAAAACTGTTCGGTTTTCTCTCGTGGGCTTCAAGGCTCGCAGTGCCGGCGGTCACAGCAAGCAGTGCTACACCAGCGCAGCAAAGCTTGATCATTGTGCCCAAAGGAATTAATATATGAGCCGCTTGGAAAAATAGATTGACACCCCTTGGCAATAAAATGGAGCTCAG